AGAATGAATTATAGAATGAATTATAGAATGAATTATAGAATGAGTTACAGAATGAATTATAAAATGAATTATAAAAGGAATTGTAACGAAATGAAAAATGAGGGTAGTGAATTTCGTATGTAAATAATTGTTATAAAAAATTACATTTAATTAGCGTTAGACATTCCTTGGAACGCAATAAATACCATAAGACGAGCATATTGCTAGTTTTATTAATTTGACACCAGAGGAATAATAATAATAAAATAATAATAATAATAAAATAATAATAATAATAATGGGAACAATCTTTTATTGACCAAAAGGATAAAATCAAAATGAAACCAATTGAAAATTATTATTAATAATATATAAGATTGTAAATAAATAAATAAATGTAAATAATTTATAATAATAATAATAAATGTTTATTTGAATTAATTAAGGTGTATCTATTTTAAAGCCTCTAATGGGCGTCGACCCATTCTTAGAGTTTAACTTGGAGAGTCATTTTACCCTTGACTATCCAGAGGTAGTTTGTTTGTTCGCTTGTTTGTTTATTTGTTCGTTGGTTTGTTGTTCGTTCGTTTGGCTTTTGTTTGTTCGTTTGGCGTTTGTTCGTTTGGCGTTTGTTCATTTGTTCGTTCACTTGTTTCTTCATTTATAAGTGCGTTTGTTTGTTGGTTTGTCCATTCTTTCTTTCGTTCATTCATTTATCTTTTATGTCATTAATGCATTAATTTTTTTATTCGTTCGTTCGTTCGTTCGTTCGTTCATCCATTGTTTTGTTTATTCATCCTTTCATTCAGACATTCATCTCAAAACAACCAATCAAGCTGTCATTTTATCATTTATAAATATAGCATTACTCCCACGGACACACGCAGACGCACCTGCACACCAACACACACGCACACCCACACACGCACACAGATGAACCACACACACACACACACACACACACACACACACACACACACACACACACACACACACACACACACTTATTCACCATCCACACACACACACACACTCACACGCACGCACACACACACACAAACACACCACCCACAATACACACAGACAACACACAGACACGCACGCACACACAAACACACCACCCACAATACACACAGACAACACACACACACACACACACACTCGCGCATACACAGTTCGAATTATTGCTATGCGTAGAGGACGCCATGGACCCTGCCCTAAACGTCATAGAGACCCTCCAGAATAGGTACCCTAATGTCAATTGCCGAATTTTTATTGGTGGCAAGGTGGGAATACAGAATCCCATGGTCTTCAACATGTGCCCTGGCTACGAAGCAGCTAAACATGATCTTGTTTGGATCAGTACCAGTAGGATACAGGGTTGGTTGTTTATGGTGTGGCGTGTGGTGTGGTGTGGTGGAGGTTTTCTGGTGTGTTTTTGTGGTTTTTTTTGTTGGTGGTTGGGGTTGTGCGGGTTGGTATTTGTTGTCAATCAATCAATCAATCAATCAATCAATCAATCAATCAATCAATCAATCAATCAATCAATCAATCAATCAATCAATCAATCAATCAATCAATTAATCAATCAATCAATCAATCAATCAATCAATCAATCAATCAATCAATCATTCATTCATTCATTCGTTCATTCATTCATTCATTCGTTCATTCATTCATTCATTCATTCATTCAATCAACCATTCATTCATTTATTCAATCATTTCCCGGATGCCAGCAAGCACGGAGATCCTCCTGGATATGGTCTCCAAAATCCAGGCTCCCAACGTTGCACTGGTCCACCAAATCCCATTCACCAGGGACCAGCAGAACAGTTTTGCGCACGCTGTCGAGAAAGTGGGTGATGATGATGATGATGGTAAGGATGGTGGTGATGAGGTAATAATGTTGATCGTTTCGTTTTAAATCTTTTTTTTTAGGATATTTGAATATAAATAACGAAATTTCGATTTATAATGTGAGTTTAATTTTCAATGCTGAATGATTAACAAGCGGACTTCCTGCTAACTGGCTTCATGTGTCATATATCATCTCTGTGACATTTCATGTTGTTTGTATGTTGTTTGTTCGTTTGTATGCCTTTGGCATATAGTGTAGATATCTATCATGTGTGTATATCACGTTGTTTGTATATTCTTTGTATATGATTTGTATCTCGTCGGTATATCACTCTATGCTATATATAATTTGAATATCTTTCGTATATCGTTTGTATGTCGTCTGGGTATCATTGTATGATGTTTTTTTTACATATGATACACATTTGATGAATGATACATCTGATACTACTCACATTTTCAGGTGTATTTCGGCACGACAGTAGCGCGGTTTAATCTGGCCTTCCATGCTCTGGGCATCAGTTGCATAACAGGTATTTTTTCTCTTGCCATGTTACCATGGTATTGTTAGTAAACAAACACAAACATTACACACACACTCACACACACTCACAACACACACAACCACACACACGCACACGCACACAACCATACATATATACAACCTTTGCACAAACCGACAACACAACCCATCTGTTTTTACAAGAACTTATTAATAAAATTATTTTATTTATCAGGAAACCTTTTAGATAAAAACTACATTAAAGAATATATATCAGTTCTACTCCAAAAATTTAACTCCTTCTGTATACTTGATGGGGCTTTAAATAATCTTTCTATGCGTGACCCAATAACATAGAGTATAGCAGAACCTGACAGTGGCTAGTTAAACAACGAAGGGTCGTACATACATACACGTGCATTACATATATGTACACATATACACACACACACATACACACTCACGCACACACTCACGCACGCACACGCACACACAGGTATGTCTTACTTAATAAAGAAGGATGAGTTGGACAAGTTGAACGGCCTGTCTTGGTTCGGGAGATATCTAGCTGAAGATTTCTTCATTGCCAAGCATCTGCATGATAAGTTGGTCACTCATTGCGATGATAATGATGGTGGTGATGGTGGTGATGGTGATGTGGATGATGATGATGATGATGTGGATGATGATGATGATGATGTGGATGATGATGATGATGATGACGACGATGGCTGATAGTTGATCAGTGGTCACCTGTTATCATGATGGTGGTGGTGATGGTCATGATTATTATGAAGAAGATGGTGATGATGTTGGTATCGACGATGATGATCATATTGTTGTTGATAAAGATGATGATGTTGATATTTCTTGGAGTGTTGGTAGCATATATTTCTAGAGAGAGAGAGAGAGAGAGAGAGAGAGAGAGAGAGAGAGAGAGAGAGAGAGAGAGAGAGAGAAAT